TCTGAAGGAAAAGGAGCAACTTCAAAACTTGGTGGACCCGTTAACATTTGACCTGACCTACGACCTCAAGACTTCCTCGTGCACTCTGTGTCCAATATTGAACAACTACAATGACATCAGTCAACGGTCCTTTAGAGCTGTGGTAAGTACCATATGAATGCTTGAAAGCAATCCAAAGTTTTGGGACAACTAAATGCTCTTTTAGAGAATTTGTAATAAATAACTTTGTCAGTAGGCGAAGAACACAGATATAAATACCACGTTACTTTAAAGAAAATTCCGTCTTTCTGAATTACGTTTGTAAGAATTGTTTTGAGAGCTATCATGTTGTTTGTGCATGTTCTACTGCATTTTAATACTGCTGTTTTTTCATAGCATTCAATGCTGTATTTTCTTCCTATTGTTGTAAAGGTTGGCTTTGTCAAGAAGTGCGGAAACGACAAAATCTGTGAACCTGACTTATCTATCAAAGGAGAAGTGAAATTTGGCGATGGGTGAGTCTTAAATGATCGTGATCACGTCACATTTCCTTCAATGTTAGTCCTGAGGGTTTGGTGACAAGTCTGGCTAGCAACTTCGTTCCCAGGGTTTTTCTTCCCCGGCCTTCTGAAGAAGGGAGACCCTAGAAACTAGCTTGCTATCCCCAAATGATGAATTTTAGTATTCTCATTAGCTGCACTTGAAAGTGTTTTGAAAATCATAAGGTGAAAATAGAGGTTGATCACTGTGTTTCACTGCCTTGACTGACATTCTATCATTATACTTCAGGAGTCAAAAGGAGCTTCTCATTGGTGGTGTCAAAGAAATTACCGTCATGGTGGAAGTGGAGAATAAGGCACAAGACGCAGCCTACCCGGGAAAGGTCATCGTGACGTATCCGTCTGTAATCGACTACGTTAGCAGTCAGGTTGGTCGATGTGAAAAAAACTCGTATTTCAACGTTGCATTAGTCGTAAGATTTTCAAAAACACGTCACTTGAGAAGTTTCCGAGGAGTGTCCGAAGGCTTCTACGAAGGGGACTCGACGAATTTCCGGCGAATTTCCTTTTAATCGTCGTGTTTAATAGGGGTTTTTAATTTGAACATTCGCGGACATTCTGAAAGTCGTCTTACTGACATGCCAGCGAGGTTGTAACTTGTAGATCCAAATTGGATGATATTCCAATAAATTGAATCCGTTTCATTATTTCCTAATACAGTCAGTATGTTGTAGTCTATCTTTCTCTAAGTCGCGGGCATTTGACTCACCTGAATTAGTTCTTTCTCTCCTCTGGGAGAATAGGACCATGGAAATAAGTCTTAGTTCTTATTAAATAACTAGGCTTATCACGCTTTGGATGATGAAAGTAATTACCACGATTCTCTCTCTTTCTTTAGGAAGTGTCTTGTTCCACGGAGACGAAAGATGACGGGAAACGAAAGGCTGAGTGTACTGTCGGCAATCCTTTCGAAGGAAACCAGAAAGTAAGTACCTCTAAAGTAACAGGTGCCATTTTCGGTCAGAATTCCAACTGGCTACGCAAGTAGATTAAGTTTATTGCTCTCCTTTCCCCCAGAACTTATTAAAATAATTCTTGACAGATTTACTGCATTGTTGCCTGTTTCAAGAGTTTTTTGATTCTCTACGCCTATTTTTGTGATGATTATGATGTGGAAAGTATGAAAGAGTAGAACAAAAGTTGGAAAGTGTAAATATTGAACTGTAATTTCACATTGTAATCTTCTTTGTTGTTGTTGTTGTTGTTTTGTATAGAAACAATTCGACATTATATTCAACACTCAAAGAGTCACTGGAAACATCTCTGAGTTTACTATCCATCTTGAGGCATCAAGGTAATTATTTTAAAAGTACTGAAAATGCGTTTCCATAAGTCAGCCCTGTCAAAATGCTTTGTAGCAACAAGCAGGATAACAGACCTAGTCGGCAGATAAGGTCAGAGATGGATTTGGTATTCGTCAGAATGGGTGAAATCCAGTGGAGCGTAGGCGGCTAAAAATCTACAGTACGAGGCAAAATCGACACTACACGATTGGCTGAAAAATCTCGCGCCGCTTTTTCATCCAATCAGAAGTAAAACCAAAACCGATGGTGACTCGCTCGCACTCTTTTTCCCGCGCTTTGCATTAGCTACGTGTAATTACTTCGAGTTTTAATTGGTTCATTGGATAGTCTGTGTAGTTTGTGATTGGCTAGAGTAATTGCGTTGGTTTTGGTTCTACAACACTCAATTGAAAATCGCTCCAGGGCATATAATATGAAGTTGTGTATTATGTTTGTTGGTAAACTGTGGTTTTGATTGAGGAATCCTGTAATTTGTTTTATTCAGTGACCTCACTCAGGACGCGGACCTCTCCAATAACGAGTATACACTCCCAGTTGCTGTCAGATTTGAAGCAGATATGAATATTATCGGGTAAGTTAAACTGGAGAGACTGGACACTAACTTAATGCTCGAGATGGCGCCTACTGCTGCTACACTCGAGTGTTTTCCCTGATGAAGCCAGGGAATTGTTGTGTTTGTTCCGGGCTGTATTGAAATTTTCGAAACAAACCATTCTTGGAGTATTGTTGTATTCCAGAGGTTGACGAGCTCCAGTGTTGATGCAAAGTACTTTTGTTTCGCCGCCATTTTGAATTCTTCCGTGTTTTAGAAGAGCTCCTCGTTACGCGACTGTTGTTGAGTAACGGCAGACACTACAGAATTGATACCTGTCTGACCCTGAGTGTTGCGGTATTTTCAGATTTTCTAATCCAGATCAAGTCGTGTACGGTGACAAAGTTACAGAACCGATCGAAAGCGCTTACGATATTGGACCTGCAGTAAAACAAACCATAACGGTGAGTAGACGGTATCAACAATATGTCGGCCTTTTTGGCGTTTTGAGACACCGTGGCACATTGGACTCCACGTTTAGAGCTTTTGGTTCCTGTTCTGGCCAGGGCAAGATATTTCTTAATACAATGTCTTTCTTGTTTGGAAAAGCAAAGGCCGGTATTAAAAAAAAAATCAAAAATTTCAAATCTTTCTTGACGGCGGCTTACAAATGGACTGCTGGCAGTCGCGGTCCTTTCTGTCAGGGTCAGACGTGTGTTTATCCGGAAACACGAACGCATAATCCGGTATGGACGAAACGAGGTTAGGGCGAGGCGAGAGAAAACCGGCTGCGGACACCTTGACTCGTCCCAATCCCTTCTAATCTGAAATGCCTGGCCTCATAATCTCCCGTCTCATTTCGAGAGAAAAACAGACCGCCAGAAGTCTAGCTTACAAATGGCATAACACTTGCGTTTTCTTACCGTACAGGCCACCGTTGATTTGTCCAGTGACTACAAGATATCTTAACGAACTTTGTGCCTTTTATATTGATTTCACGGCGTACTGGAATTTTTATTGTGGATGTAAGCCGTTCATACCGTTTAAACCTGTTTTCAGGTGCGCAACAATGGACCCAGTCCTATCGAGTTCTCAGAGGTGACAATTTTAGTTCCGTTCAAATATAACAAGGAAGAAGATCCAAACTATTTGTTGTACTTGATGGAAGTCCAGGTGAGTCGAGTACGCTTGTTTTGGAAATCCTTCCATTATTCCATATACAGCCGGACGCCATCAAAGATCTTTGGAAATGTAACGTCACGCAAAGAGGCTGGTAAAGCACACGGCCTTCAAACTTAGCGACATGCAAGTCACTTCTTGCAGTTCCCGGTGATGTTCTTTTGTTTATCATCATCATCATCATCATTTATTTGCCACAAATTAAAAAGAAACATCTACAACAACCCAATTTTTTGGTAAAGCGAGGAGATCTCCCATAAACCTTCACGGGGGCCATCTTAGTCGTCGATATGGTATAAATAAATTTTAAGCTTTGTCTGCGTGGCTTGGCCAATGACACCATTCACCATTCTTTCATCACGAATTTAATCATCTTTTTCTTAAAGCTGGGAAAGCTTGTTGAACCAGTGATAGATAACAGATAGCCTTTAGGACCTTGATAGGGTATGGTAAATGGAGTAACTCACCAGTGATTGTTTGTTTTGCTTTAGGTTCTTGGAAATGCTGGAAGCTGTAATGTGAAGACCAATTATAAGAGTCTGCAGGTTTGTGGAATGTACACTTTAAATTTCGGTGTTTGCAAAGTGTAGGAAGTAAAGCGAAATTTCAGTTACACAAAATATCAGGTTGTGAAGGTCTTTTTCTCTTGAACGCTTTTACTTTACTTAAGACTCACACTCGGATGTCTCAACTTATTCTTATACCATATCTTTTTTAGCGTAGTACCAATTCCAGTGAGCAGGTTGGTCAAGAGTCCAGTTCCTCCGCGGACAAATCAAGACGTGAGGTCGAGAAGTCAAATGTCGAACTGGTAATTAAATTAGCGTCCTTTCCTCAAACGAAAAGATGAATAAATGACGGTTGTCAGAACGTTTTTGTAGTTGTAAAATCCAAACCCAAACTAAAATAATTATATCTGGCCAATCATAGCCTGCGTCGCAGACTCTACCTACCGCTGGTCACCGGGTAAATTTCCGTCTGCGACACAGGTTAGCCAATCACAACAAGGCAAATAACCCAGTCAGCCAATGTGAACTCAAAGAAGATACATACAACCCGTGAAAGCGCGGGAAACCATGCAAGCGGTCCCAAGCGCCTCAAACCATGCAACCCGTGCTAAGCGCGGGAAAATGCTCGTAACGCAAGACACGTTTGGTTTCGCTTTTAACTGGTTAAAAAAAAGCGTGTTCGGTCGGATTGTTGAACAAAATAAGAAGAATTTGTTAAATGATGGATGTGTCACTTGTTAATTTTCAGCCTTGTGAATCTGATAGCGACATGACTTGCCTCAAGGTTCCCTGCTATCTGGGAAGAATGAGGCGAGGGGACCAAGTGAAGATACAAATGATGTCCCGTCTCTGGCAGAACACCCTTATCAAGGTACTCGATTGGTCAGAGAAACTGCGCCTTTCGCTGCTTCTTTTGTTCTACATTTTTGTTTTCGACTCATTCTGAATCACTTTTTGTTTGTAGGCGAAAGCAGGCTCACTAAACCTCACCACAACTGCCAAAGTTGCCCCGCCATCTTCTGTGAGTGAACCAAACGAAAAAGACAACGTTGTTAAGGTTTGTGTCTCTTGTTCCAGCGAGTGCTAACGAGAAATTATTTTGCTCAAGGGTTGATGAGCCCGCGGTGTTTTCCAATAGTGCTACTAAGCAACATCAGCAGTATCACGAATCAAGACGTAGGCAAGCTTATGAGAGCCACGTGACAGATTTCAGATAAAAATTCGATGTTATGATTATATTCTGACCAATTATGGTTTAAAAGTCAAAAATCCGAAGGGAAAACAGTAGATAGGTGTGGTAGATTCAACGGGAAGTTGATTCACATCTCTTCTTTTTATTGTTAACAGATTGGTCTCACTGCTAATCCAAAGACCACTCCAAAAGGCGCAGGTGGAAAAGTGGCCGCTTGGATAATTATCGTGTCCGTCCTAGGAGGCCTGCTGCTTTTTTGCCTTGCAGGATTTGCTCTCTACAGGGTAAGTGAGATTTTACTGTCCAGTCCCCTCCTCTCCCCACTGGTAACTGAGTCACGGTGTCAACTGTTGTAAACGTTAGTTTTAAGTCAATGTTATGACGGAAATGTTTAAGACGTGAGTTGTATTCTTCCGTTTACAGTTTGGTTTCTTCAAACGGAAACGCCACAACAAAGACGAAGTGACCGAAGAAGAAATGACTCCCATGAAAACAACGACAACCCAGGCCTAAGTCAATGTTAAGAAGATAGAAGGTTGTAGTTATATGACAGGGATATCTTCGTATACGTCCTTGGGTTTGTGGTTTACATGGCCAGCCAAGATTTGTCAACCCTTTCCAGCTACAGTTAGTCTGTTAGAATTAGAACAAGTGTGTCGATAATGTAGTAACGTTTGAAATTGGTCATGTGAAACGAGATAAGTCCTGGCGCACAGATAGTTTTGAAAGATTTTGTTCTAGTTTTGCGAATGGTAAGAACCATATTGAGTTTACTTTTCGTTAGACCTGTTTCTAGTTAGCATATAAATGTAATATAAAGTTTCGTTGTTTTTGCAAGGAGACATAACTTACATATTTTTACAATTTAGTTAGCTTTTTCTCTAACCGTTTAAAAGCGGAAAGTTCCAAGCTATTTATTTAAAGATACATTAGATTAAAAAAGTGAGCGCGTTCAAGTCGTTAGATGTAATATATCAAAGTTAGAAAAGAGAAAGAGGTTAATAGGCTCAGTATTTTCAAAATGACTTTGGTCTTTCTCTAAAATGAAATTAGGTGTAATATTCTTTCTTACGAAAATGTTTGATTTCCACGAGTTGACTTTTGAATTAAGTTCCTTTTCATGTTCAAGGTTTCGCACCAGGACTCGTTTTGAAACAGAGGCAAAAAAGTCCTAAAAATAGTCTATCCCATATTTACTTTGAAGGCCTGTATATATTAAATTTCAAGAGGTAAATAAATAAGTTATCAAATTACTATATTATCCCGAGTTGTTTTGTCCCTCTACATTAACCCATGAACAAGACTGTAATAGAAGAGGGCCAAGTCTCTTAGTATTAAGACAACTTTATCGAATGTTTAAGCCAAGCTTAATTAAGAAAAGATGACACTTCGTTTTCGACATCTTTATTGATTTCCTGGTTATCCATATAGCTCTTTTCTACTGATATCTAAATTAATTCTTAATTGAAGTAAACTCTGCAGTTGTGAAGCAAATTACAATTTGAAAAAATAAAAGACGCAGTTTGTCTAGGCTAGGGTTAAACTTTCCCACAAATGAAGCGACTAGAAGTATGGCTTCCCCCCCACCACCGCCTTGTCCATCACAGGTTAACCACCAGCATTGTATCAGGTTGCCCTAGCAACCCTACGTACCCATTTATACTCCTGAGTGGGGAGAGGTAAGTGCCTTCCACCCCTCCCCCTCAAAAAAGGTGTCTTGCGCAAAGAACACAATGACCCTGACCGTCGTTCGAACCGGGAAATCTCGTTCCAGAATTCAACGAGTATCTCACCAGAAAACCAGAAAAAAAAACTTTAGACTTAACTGTGAAACAGAGTCGTGACCTTTTGTCACTTCACAACTATTCAATTTGCCTCACTAATGCAGAGATCTCTTTCATTTAAATTTTCTGTCAACCGTGTATGGCGATTTTTTTCTTTGTACAATACTGCAAATGTCCGGCTTCCGAGGTGGTGTCCAACGAAGCAATTTACTAAGCCTTGTACTTGAAATTATCTCCCTAATTCTATTTGGACTGTTCAAGACTCTCAGAATTTTGCAGAAAAAGACAAAATGAAAAAGAAACGACCAAGTTATGAGAGCCTGAAACAATTTGCATTTTTGGTAACTAGAAAAAAAAAATTTATACAGCTTCTTCATTTCCCAAAAGTAGTGGCATTTAATTTAATTAACTAGCGTCAAAAACTCTTTCCCTTAGACGTTCTGGAGAAGACGTTTCCTTCTTCTTCCCAACCTCGTTCCCAGGTTATTTCATCTCCCTGGAAACGAGGTTGCACACCTTCCCGCCAAGGGAAATCTTGATTTGAATATTTAGCTAATAATTGGTACTCAGTAATGTTACGAACTGAAAATCTGGAAAACTAATGAAATGTCTTTTGAAATAATGTTGCACTGGGGCAGTTACCCACAAAATATTTGTTCATTCTAATTGACTCAACGCATTTGAATTTAAATTCTAAAATTATAGTTCATTTTCCTAAATGCACTGAAATATTGATGGCTCAAGCGCAATTCAGTTAAAATTATCTACCATCTGCGACAAAGTAGTCCAAAATTACAAAATTCTAACACAAAGTAAATAGACCTTTCAAAAACAATTTGAATACAAAATGATATTTAATTTGCCTGAAATTTGTAATCACTGAAAATCTTTTCCAGTTACGTTAAAATTCGTCGCTGGTTTCCAGAGGATGCCGCGGGGGTCTGGGCTCGCCCTCAGCAGTTCCGTCGCGATTGACAAACACAAAGTCAGGGTCAAGAGACTCAGCGCCAGACAGCTGTTCAGCAGAAATGTCATTTGGGTTTCGCCGTTCATTGAGCGGGTTTGTAGCTTTTGCTTCAGATGGATTAAACAAAGGATCAGTCTCACTTGAAGTACTTGTGTCAACAACGGTACCCTTGTGACCGTGAAGAACTGACCGTTGACTGTCCAACTGGCCCGTCTCATTGTCAATCCTGCACTCAGCGTTAGATCCAAACAGAGTTGCGGTGTTTGAATTATCAACGTGAATCCTTTGCTCGGAGTCATTAGCCTGAATCTCTCCACAAAACAAAGGATTTGAAAGAATGGACTCCACATTACCAGGTCCATCCCCAAAACTAGCAAACAGATCCTTGCTGTCATCCTTAACAGCCCCTCCGCAAACAGCAATATTTTGCTTTGGATATTCTCCGTTATCCTCTTGCTTTACCGAGGTAATCTCTGTGTTGAGATTTTCTAACTCTTCCACAATCTGTTTTTGATCATTTTCCGTTGTTTCAGTCGCTGTTAAGCCGCATTCATCGTTTCCCTTGGCTTGCTCGTCGGAACCCGTAGATTCACCCCTCTGTTCTTCTCCGCCATCACCCGACATAAAACTACTTTCGTTCTCGTCTGAATTCTCAAAATGACCAAAGTTGGCAAGCATTGGAACAGGAAGACCTTCGGGCAGACCGCTGTCTTTTTCTTTCTGTTGTTGTAGTGAGGGGATTTGTAGACGAGCAGCAATGTTGTTATCAATCTCCATAAAGTCACACTCTGTTTCCATTGTTGAGCCACGGAACGCCAAAGTCCCTTTCAGCAAGTCTCGTACCTGTTGGACATGCATGTATAGCAATGCTTGGTAAAGTTGTTTATCTCATTAATTACTGTAGATTTCCTCTCAGTTATCAGCCTATTGCTTGCTCCGTGGCCCCGTGTTTAGGGTCCATCTCGTTCCTTATAAATCCCCCCATTCCCACTTACAGGAGCTACGTCAAAGTTTGCGCATCTTGAAAAGTTTGGCCTAAATATTTCAAGTTCGTTGTTTGTGATCCGTGTCAATCTTCTCCATCCTTAGCCATCCTTGGTCCTCTATGGTTTATTATTATCTCTTTGGTGTTTTTCTATCTTAGTACACAACTATTTTCAGGTTTTCCTTCAATTTAAAGGTGATTTTGTGCCTAGCCAAAATGGCACAAAATACCGTGACTGAGTTCCATTAAAAGCCTTCTTTACTAAAAGAATCATCTATCTGTTCTCACTATCCCATACGGTTAAAGAAAAAAAACCCTTACTTTTTATCGTTAATGCATTAAGCCCGTAGACAAAATTAAAACCTTCGTGAGAAACAAATACTTCTACGCGAAGACGTGAAAGGTGATAAAATTCGTGTTTAAGTTGCAATTTAAGGACGCTATCTTTGCCCCGGCAATGTAGTTTCAGATATACATCCAAGCCCCCTCCGCTCCTCTATGGGGATCGTGT